AAATAAAGCCAACAATAAAACTAGTTGAAGAATGCTCATGTATTTCATTACTGTAGACGTGCTGCTGGTGTGCCATAAAGTAACAGCACCTTATATTCAATAATAATTTACTGCAGAACGTCACAAGTAAGAAAGAACCGATGTGAATCTCATTACTTGTCCTTTAAAGGAGTTAATTCTAAACCTCTACCTCTTGTTTACACTTTCATTGTCATTAATCTTTACGTTAACAAATTTCATTTTGCTTAGAGAAGAAATAAATAACCAGTGGAACAGGAAGTTGTTTAACTAGTTTGCAGCATTTTGTTTTATGACATAGTATGAAAAGAGAAGATAGTTAAAATACGAAGATTTTTGGGCTACCGAAAAGCCAATTGGCTATCTTGACATCAAGTTTGAATACGAGATTAGTTAGTTCAGTTGTCTCTTTTAGTGGGGAATAACCAGTAACCTAATGTTGATTTGGATAATTAAATCTACACTAATTTAATCATATCAGTAAAGCTCTAAATTATTTGATGAATTCATTGTTTCCTGGGTACCGTTTCCTTAGATTCTCTATGAAAGGTGGCAGTATACTGCATTTCTAATAACAGACATTTGAGCAACATTACTCTCTGAAATGAAAAAGTCTGCATAAATATCGGATGATTTTGGTGCCTGATGAGTGAAATAGAATTCCACAAATTGGGTCATTCCGTTCTACCTAGAGAGTACTAGTGTCCTGGTTGCATTTATATACATGTGTGTTTTGTAACTATTCATGCACATCGGTGGTGCAAATAGCGTCAAAATTCGTTTGTTTCCTGCACATCATTCTTGGTACCAGAAGGATAAAATTTTCGGTTTCTAAATGAAGCCAAGGTGGAATCTCTACATGAGATGGTATCTATCTTTGTTATTCTCAATAGGGACAGCGAATCATGAAAACACCCATTTTAATGATCATTTTCCCAAGGTTGTTGCTTGCAGTTCCTCATAGTTGGTTGGACCAAATTGGTTGAATACCACTGATATTAGGGCTCCTAAGTGGATGTCTCGATATTGTCAGCAGATTCAGTGTGATGATATAGGTGGATAGTGATTAGCAATGGAATTCACGAAGCATCAAGAGATATTACTCGTAAACTAATGCACTAATGTACCATCCGCGTGATCTCTATGCAATGTCGTACTGATGCACTTATGTCCAGTTTAAAAGTCTTGTATAGTTGAGTAGAATAAATTGTTTCGCTTTTTTCCTTTTTACTAAGCCCTAAAACATTGCTATCATATAAGTCAATTATTAAAATCGGTCAAATTCAACCGATTAATACATCACCACTTCATCGAAGTAGTATTCTATTGGGTAAGCCTTTATGGACTCAACAAGTTATTGAGAAACCACCGGAAGTTCCCATACATTTGAATCAAGAAGAAGTGCCAAGCCGATTGTCTGTCAACACTGTCGACGTTTACTACATGGATTATTTCGCCAAGGTTTGCAGTGTAAAGGTAAGCGACTCTAAATTGAGTGTATCTTCTAAAGATTATTTAACATGATATGCATTTAAACGGAAGATAGCTGGTGATCTGAGCTGGGCTGGACTATGAGTATTTCGTGTGGAAGTTTAGGATTTTAATTAAAAAAACTGGTAAACCCTCTTCGTTTTTGTCAGCAGCACAGTGTATTTCTAAATAAACAACGGATAAAGTGTACATTTTGAAGTGATTCGGATAATGATAGAGAACTTTTCAATCACTTATCGTAGTGAAATGACTACCCTTATATAATCCACAAATTTTGAAGTAAATGTATTGATGGAAATCTATTTCTGGGGTTCTATACTATGATAGTCAAAGTGTGATAGCTGTTGAAAACTTGGTAAGAAAACATGAACTTTTCGAAATAGCGGATAAGTACTCAGGTAAAACCACGGCTTTCTCACTTAGATCATAACTGGAATGACTTGACAGCAATATTATCATCACTATGAAGTAAAAAGTAATGCATAGAAGAAATACAGTTGAGATGAAATGCCTAGAACGACCACCATTTTAGCGTAAGGAACAGGTGATACTAGTGGAGAACAATTATAGCTCAGGTGGATGCTCTTTGTTGTATTGTGTTCTCTGAGCTTAGTTGTTTAATCGTGAAGCTTTCATCGTCCTTCTAGATAACATCATCAGCACTAACTTCAGTATGAAGTGAGCTGTCAATATCCCTCCGTGAGTATTTTAGTAGCTTGCCCTGATGAAGAAAACGGTCTATGATTGGTTGTTTCCTCTGGTTGTTGTGTCATTGGCTGTACAGATTTTCCTGTTGACTGTCCCTCTGCCTGACCTTTGACCTTTCTGTCGTTTATCATCCTTCTTATTGGTTGGTAGATTGGGTCTATGTCTATGCATCTGACCTGAATACCAAGCTTCTAGGAATTCTCTGATATTCAATATGTTTCCTCTGTCCAAAATTTCTACATTGTCCATAATTATCCACATGTATTGAAATGAGTGATGAAATGTCGTGACGTTTACTAGCCAATTGTTGTTCATGTAGACGAAGGTGAAGAGGGCGACCACTTTGTCCAGTGTAGTGTTGACTACAGTTATTGTAATTGATTTTGTAAATGATATTCGATTTGTCTTCTTTGCTTGTCGCATCCTTTGGTCTGCATAATAGTGTTTGGAGGGAATTTGTTGGTTTATGAGCCACACCAATCCCAAGTGGTTTCAGTAAACTTGTTATGATTTCTGATATATTCTTTATGTATGGTCGGATGATATATCAGAAATCACGATTAAACAACCCAGCTCAGAGAACACAATACAACCAAGACAGGTGATACTGGACTAAATTCTTGTTTTCTCAGCTAGTGTAAGTCCTCTAACCTTTTAATAATTATTTCATTACGCCTTTAACAACAAGCCACCATTCTAAGTGTTAAAAATTTTGATTACGAAAATCACAACAAGAAATGTCAGAGAACGATATTGTTTTCAGTTAGATCTCATCAGATTTCACTCTAATACACATAACTTCCTATATTATATATATATATATATATATATATATATATATATATATATATATATATATTACATCAACCAATCAATGTAATTCATGAGTCCATGAGTACAAGGATACTGATTGTGTACTGGTACGAAGGAGAATACGAATGTTCAGAATGATACGAATATGCTAACAGGTGTTCACCCAGACAGAGAAAATAGGTCAAATATTGGGAAAGAGCAATAAAGTTGTGTATTACTGGGAGATGAAGGCACTTAACAAATAAAGTTTGAACGTAAATATGTTAGTAGTGTGAAATCGGTGGCAAAAATGAAATAAGAATGATAATAAGTATATTTTGAAACTGTTAAGTAAGTTCATTCATAATTTTTTCCCTTTCTGAGGCAGGGACAAAGTTTACACAAATTTCTTCTGAATACAGAGCTTCGGATTACTCATTCGAATTGTTATAGCCCCAGCTCTATGTAGAAGGCGAATTAGAACTGGATCAGAAAGGTTCGGAGGGATGCAGTAAATCACTTTCAACTCTTTCGTTTAATCCACCATGTGACCATTATCAACTGGATACAACAAAAGAGAGCTTCTTATAGATTTAAACTGTTTCTCTCCCAGCCGCGAAAGTAGTTGTTTGGTAATATCCCCTTTATGACCAACTTCCGCTCTTCAATATTCATTGAAACTTACCGTTAGTTCTCGTGTACATATTCACTCAATTAATGCGTTAGCAATTATGTCATACGAATATAATATTTTCTCCAACCCGATAACTTTCTATCAAACTGATTTAGGCATGTAAACATTCTGTATAAGTTAAGGTTAAAACGTCTGTTGTAAACAGCTGATGAGAAACCCAGAAGTTTGATGTGTTTATCCCATTCTGCTAAAACCTTTTCCCTCCCTTTCCGGGTACATTTGCGTGACTAGTCGCTCTATGACAAATCACAGACGACCTGTGATCATTATTGCATGACATTGTGAGGCCTTTACTAGAAAAGGCTACATATCCGTTTATGACTCAAGAAACAGTTGAAGATCCAGCGCCTTGCTTTGGAGCAATTAGTTATCTCCCAAACTAATTCCATTTCAGCTGCCAAAATAGCACTTGTAGTGTAACTGCTATTCGGCATGTGTAACTCATGTCAGAGTTACCTCATAAGCGAAGGATGCCAACCTAAACCACTTCACTGTCTTCCTCATCCAACCGTTTACGCTAAGGCATGATTTATAACAAAGTTCAACCACAAGTGAGCGGTACTTCGAAAGAATTATTTCAATCAAAACCCCCACTATTTCTTGCAGTGTCTCACACATCAAATAAGAGTAAACTGTTATTCATTGCACTTGGCTTTTAACAGGTAGTCGAATTTCACTGGTAAACAGAACAATAGCGCTGATCCAGATTTCAAATTCAGCAAGGTGGTTAGAGTATCCGTCTACTTTAAAACTCATCCTAATACAAGATCTTGGTGAGGTCGTTATGCTGAATCATACTATGTTTAAAATGAGAGTAATGAATACAAAAGATACTCAAACTTGTACTGTAAATACTTATGAGACCCTGCATTTTGTAAGGTTTCACTGCTTCATATTTAATTGAACATCTTAGTACTGCTGAAACATAAATCATATTACATAATTTAACTAAAAAAACTTGTGATAAATATTCTATCGAAAACACTTATAAATTTACGTGAAGATATCTGGTTAATCTTTCTCAAATACGCTGTGGCTTCAGATACTGCAAATCATTGTAAAGGCTATATTTTACTTAAAGATAACGATTGCTACTCAACACAGTTAGATTATGAAGTTCTACACGATCTCACTCAATTGGTCAGATGGTATTAGGGTAGAATTGAGATATCACTTTGTAAGCTCACCACATCTTGTCTTTTAAATTTATATTTCGTAATAATCTTTATCCATACGAATGGGGCTTTCACATATTATTTTAGCATGCATAAGTAAATGCTATTCTCTTGTTTTTAAGAAGAATTTGAAATGACCGGAAGTTTTTTGATAACATGCCTACTTAATACAGATTGTAAATTATGGGTTCATAAGAAATGTGCCACATTTGTACCGAATAACTGTGATGGTGAACAACTTTCACAAGAAGATAACACAATTAAAGGTAAATAAAAAAGAGTATTATTATGCATTATTCATGTGTTTCCCTGCTTTTTACGATAACTGTACAGCATAAAAGCAAATGTATGCGACTATTGCCTGCTTTGAAGGTCGTGGTAATGTTTACTGCTTAGGTATGTAGTTCTTTCCATACTCCATGTTAGTTAACTAACAACTAGAGAAAATATGTATTCAGTGTTCAATTTCAAAAACGTATTTTAAATCAAAACGATACGCTTACAGTTACATTCAAGAAACTAATGATAAAATGAATAAAAGTGATTGGGAGGTCTTAGTTAATATACTTCACTTCAGTTCTGTGTTGGATGCTACGAGTTAGTCTACAAGAATCCGTAAATCTGGCTTTCATAGTTGTTAGCAGTCGTCAGCAAGGCGACCCCAGAAATGAAAACATATATCTTTTAATTCTGAACTCATACATTTTGCCACCAAGACATCCGCGTTGATATTAGTCATATGTACGAGTGGATTATGTATAGGGACCAGTCACAGAAGCGTGACAAATTTACCAGCCAAGCTCTAAGACTCACTAGATCTAAGGCCTCGACTATTATCTAAGCAGTTTTCTTGAGAAGATCCCATTCATTGAATGAAACGTACTGTGTATTTATCTATGTGAAGTATAAACTCTGAACAATACAACTTTCTCAGAATATGTCGCCTAAAATAATATGTAAACATAATAAGGATAGAAATAGAAAAGAAACAATAACAACAATAGGATGATCTAAGAAGCTGTTCTTTGAATTGCATTCAAACGACTTCCTGTCGTATCACATTTGAAGACATGAAATCCACATGGAAGCTACATAATGATCGACGGTAGTGTCCATTCTAATCGACACTCTGTAAGATTCTAGGCTATTCACCTGTGTGATCTTTTGAGTCCAAAACTCAACAAAACAAAGAAAACTAACTGAAGGTAACTGTCGTTTATTACATAGTGAGAAATCTTGAAATGATAAATAAATTTTTTCTAATTATTCGTGGAGTTATAAAACAGTGTAGTAGTCGCTAAGAAAATGTACTTAAAAGTTTTCAACACATAAAAGACAGTTTTAGGCAGATCTCACCTCAGAAGAAAATAATTTCAGTCATGCATTACCACAAGCTGTCTACTCTAGATTCTAGGTGCTTGGTTATGCCCTGGTTGTGAACAATCAGATGCATAAAATGAAGATAGAATCCGGTTACATGTCAAACACAGTTACTCCAGAGAAATCGAGTCCTGGAAGCATACATTATTACTTCCCACACTGATAGTTTATATATCCAATACTGTAAGGTCAAGTTCACCATTATAAGATGCTAAATATGTTCTGAAGTAGCGCTGAATATCACATCTTCCTTAGTACTCATGTGATAATCTGGATGGAAGGAAATCTTGATTTAGTCTAATAATCATATGCCCCCAAGGTTAAGTGCACTTTTAAGTTCTTGGAAACTTTGAAAAAATATTTCGCTGGTACGAAGTGGGCTTTATGCATCTGAACACTTATATTAGGCTTTCAAAGAAATATACTCTCCTTCTTATGGCTTCAGGTTGGTGAACAATCATCACATCTTCAACATTTGCTTACTTACTAACAAGATAAGAGATCATGGGAAATTTCAGTGATAAATGTATCATCAACTGGTCCCATGTTATTGTCATGAAATCATTAGCTACTTTGTAGTTATCTCTATAACGTTTTTTCGGAAGATGTGCAAATATGCACAAAAAATACACATAAATCAAGCTGTATTGTTAAGATAAAGTACTGCTATTGTAATATTTGGTAGTAGTATACTGAAATAAGACATAAATCCATTCTCTGTGAAATCATATTATTCTTCAGGTTGATACACACCCTGTCTCTAAACTGAGTAAAAGCCTTAAGATTAGATATGCTAATTATAACAAAAGAAGAGATTTGTTCACTCGACAGTATGGATATTATCTTATCTTATCCTAAGAACCAAACGAACTCTTTCACAGTCATATCAATCATCATCCTAATGGCTCACCGGTGACATCTTTTATGACAACAATGAAAGATATTTAGGGGACATCATTATCGCCAATAATCCACATGCACAATGTTGATGAATGCCAACGAGCAATAAAAAAGGCGTCTGAGAAAAATGCCACCCAATGTAACAATTCATCTCCCAGTGGATTATGGAATGGTCGGTTGGAATGACTACTAGGAAAGTAGAATTAGAGATTAGGGTTTGGTGTTTGTTATACTTTCGAAATCTAATGGTTATATATACCGAACGATATAATAGGCACGCTTAGCTGGCAGCTAACTTAGTACGCAAGAGCCACTGACTGCAACCCCGGGATGAATAGCGAGAAGACCAAAGCTGGCAGATGGGAGAGTTTATTACTGACAAAGTTCATCGTTCAGCATTTTAAAATAATAACAATCAATCCAAAACACGTGAATAAGTATACACATGAAAATGACCTTGTCCGCAATTGGTGTGGGAATGACACGTTAAAATGTTCAGATCAATAACAATGTTTTATACAAACTGAGGCATCACAACAGTGTTCGAGTGCATACATAAAAAATGCCTTGACTGACTTTTACTAACTTACGCTACTTGTGGCACCTATGAGATATCTGACTGCCTACTAGGGATCCATCGTTCTGCCTGCTAGTTTTACTATGCTCAACAGTACTACTATTTCGGTATGAAGCATGGTAATTAAGAGTAGATAAAATGAGAAGGTTCCAAGCATTCAACTATTGTTGCCTTAAAAGCAATATTCATGTGTCATACAGCCATAGAGTTGGTTATGTAGAAGCAAGGCTTAGAGTCATGGGTATAAGAAGCAAATCAGACGATGTGGTTGATAGCCTTCACCGACTTTGATGGCTCAGAGACGCTTTATGCATGGTTAGTCATCATAACTGTCTGACATCTGACGCTAGCCAAAGAATGGTCAAACTGGAAGACAAAAAATGATATCAACGCTAAACATTGGTAACAATTCAGAAAGTCTGAATTTTGGTTTAAACCGTGTAGAGAAATGCAGACTACCTAGTCGACACCAACTGAACAAACGAAGTTGATGGCTGTAAGCTGCATGTGATACAGTCCAGAACCGACTGCTTTAGTGCATCTAATTCCAAAGTCAATCTTCTTCGCTATATCACATTTTCAATCTGATTTTCTCATTTTGCTTATGTAACTTTCAAAAGATTCTGATGACATTAGTTCCCCTTCTTAGTCTGTCTAACGTCTTGATACCTGGTATTCTGAGATACTGATATGATGTGTTGCAACTTAAACTGCCACATAGCAATTCCCAGTCCATTGTTGTTATTGTTTTACCGATTTACGGGTTGACTGATGAAACCTACTTCAAATTAATAGTTATCGTATCAGATACCTCAATAAATGGTTCCACATCACTAGTTTTTTGATAATGCAATATATTTGCTTAAAAGCTTCAGTAGTGCAATAATTATCCTGAGTAAAGTATCTTTCCAAAGTGATCAAAACTTTTTTATGTTCTTTTCTCACATATTTTGCTGGAGTTGTTCAGGAAAGAAATTTAACACAGGTTGTGTAATCATCATTATCAGACTAAATCTAAGGGATGAGGGATATTGGTTAAAAAAAACCCAGTAAAACAGATATTTACCTGATCGAAAAAAATCCAACTGAGTGGATTAAAGTAAATATACAGAAAACTTATCCTCAAGGAGTTTTCTAATTTTCTTCTAAGATAACTGAGTGAACATTTGTTTACAAAAAACAGAAAAAAAGAAGAGAGACAAAGGAATCATTGAGACATGAGTTTCCTATAAACAAAATAATCCGAACATCACGCATGATAAAAGCAAGGAGATTCATACTAGCTTATAACTGAAATAGTTACAGAACAACTAACTGTCATATGTTTTTCATATTATTGAAACGATTTTAAGTAGATGATAAAAATTAAAACAAATAAAATAAATTTGGCGGTATACAACAACTTGGATTTCCATTACTTTTGCGCTTAACGTCCTCGTTCACAGCACCCATAGAACTGAATCACTAACGTGGCTATCTTCAAACATGAGGAAACTAGTGTTTTATTTAAACATTTAAATATGCATTACTTATTGCTGAATTTTAGGAATGTTGCCAATGTTTTGTGGATGCGTGTTACAATTCTTGAGGAAACGTTAAGAGAATCCTGGTCGAAGAATGTAAATACATTCTATTAACTCTACTTCTCTAGTTAGCACCAAAATATAGGGCACCATTGTGTTACCTCACTTAGTTTAGTGGCCACTTTGCAAATTTATTTGCTTTACTTCTGTTAGAATTAGTCACAAAGATCTCCTTTAGGCTACCCACAGGTGACTAATTCTTAAGTATAATTTATTGGTAAAACAGGTCAGTCGTTGTCTCAACAGTTCAGTGGTTAAACCTCAGCGGCGACTGATGCAGTTTGAAATCATCGACGGAAAAACAGTCTCGTCACTGTTGCAGATACCTCTTGATGTTTACTATCAGCAAGCAAGAAACATGCATTGAACAGAGTGTTCTTCTTAATGACTGTCGCAAGCAATATTTCTGACAGGATTTCATATTGAATGGCTCTTAATATCTATCACAGTATTTATATCAGTTAACCGTCCGCAGAGAACGCAGTATCATTATCACAGGATATTGCTGAGATAGTTGAAAACATGTTGAAAACCAGAGTTACACGATAACATGTTTTGAAAGATAACTTCCATTGGTAAATTCTGTCACCTCTCCGAGTAACAAAAAGTAAAATTTATCTTCTCCTCTAGTAAGCGAAAGGTAAATTGAGACTGTCACCTACTTTTTCTCAGCAAAAGTTATGCTTCACAAGGCTGTTCTTGAAACCAACAGTAACTGATGCAACTGATACACATAATTCATATTCCAGATTTCATCAAGCTTATCTACTGAATTACCTATTCTTTTTGACACATGAGGATTTCTTTCTAAGTTCTCGGTTGTTTT